GACCTGTCCAGGTGTCCCTGTGATGGACTGGAGACCTGTCCAGGTGTGTCTGTGATGGACTGGAGACCTGTCCAGGTGTGTCTGTGATGGACTGGAGACCAGTCCAGGTGTCCGCCATCTCTCGCACAATGACTGCTGGAAATGGGCACCAGTGACCCGAGAAGGAAGAAGCGTGTAAAAATGATGGATGGATAGCGATGAACTAAAGGTTCAGGTTTTACTGCCAGCATGTTTTAGCTGCTTCAGCCACATTAAACAGCTAAAATTGTCTATTTAAACTAGAATAAAATGTTCCTGTACACAAAAGTAAGAAAGTAAAAATGGGCAAGTCTTTTATAAATCCTCCGTTTCTTTGCATTGGAGTAATTAAAGTCACTCTCATACAGTCTTGGAGCAAAAACCTACATTTCTAAGGTAATGTCCTGAGTATATCTACACGTAGTATATCTACACGTAGTATATCTACACGTAGTATATCTACACGTAGTATATCTACATGTAGTATATCTACATGTAGTATATCTGCACATAGTATATCTACATGTAGTATATCTACATGTAGTATGTCTTGTATATCTACATGTAATATATCTGCACGTAGTATATCTACATGTATATCTACACGTAGTATATCTACACGTAGTATGTCTGCACGTAGTATGTCTGCACGTAGTATATCTGCACGTAGTATGTCTGCACGTAGTATATCTACACGTAGTATGTCTACACGTAGTATGTCTACACGTAGTATGTCTACACGTAGTATGTCTTCACGTAGTATATCTGCACATAGTATATCTACATGTAGTATGTCTTCACGTAGTATGTCTTCACGTAGTATATCTACACGTAGTATGTCTTCACGTAGTATATCTACACGTAGTATATCTACACGTAGTATATCTGCACGTAGTATATCTGCACGTAGTATATCTACACGTAGGATGTCTTCACGTAGTATATCTACATGTAGTATGTCTTCACGTAGTATATCTACATGTAATATATGTACATGTAATATATCTACATGTAGTATGTCTTCACGTAGTATGTCTTCACGTAGTATATCTACATGTAATATATCTACATGTAGTATGTCTTCACGTAGTATATCTACATGTAATATATCTACATGTAGGACACTTAGGACAGTGTGTCTTCTGCAGGGTTTGGTTTTGACTGCACAGTTTCGGCCACAACATTGTTCCTCCCAGTTCAGGGCATAAAAAATGAAGTGGGATTACTCACCATCGTCTTTTCTGGACGTTTCTGTTGATGAGTAAAGACGTGAACCTTTTCTTCCATCCAGATGTTGATGCTCGAGTGTTTGTTGAAAATATTGTGATTTTATGTTGGCAGCACAGCAGAGGGTTGAAGCTTTTTCTAAGTTTGAATGTTTTTCACGTGCACAAATGTGTTTTCTCCGTGCACCTCGGCTTCCTCCCGCACACCAAAACTGGTAACTCTATCACGAGATGAGACCGTGCACGAGTGGTTGCTCGTTCGTCTCTGTGTCCCTGTGATGGACCTGCGATCTGTCCCGGGTGCACCCTGCCTCGTGCACCATGACTGCTTGTGATCATCACAGCTCCTCACAGCCCTGCACAGACGAGCGGGGATGACTTTGTGTTGATACATGAACGTCTTCGTTCTTTACCTGGAAGTAAAACCAGTAGATGACTGGCTCAGTTTGTTGTACAAATGGGAAAAGGAAAATGTCTGTCCTGGTTTAGGCTGAATATGAAATAAGTCATTATCTTGTTTGCATCTTGTGTGTTCAACCTTTCATTTGTTCTGCAGCATCTGAGCAGGAGCAAGCGTGTGTTTACAAGGGCTTGTTAAGGTCTTGATCTGTTCTGTAAGGTCTAAATGGGTTCTTGTCCTCCACGTTGTTTCCTGGTACTAATCTTTGAGATGCACTAGTTTTTGTCATTTTAATTAAACGTGTCTGTAAAGGATTCTGTAGAACGTGGTTACAAGCTGTTGAGGTCATTAATTTCTTTGAACCAGGTCTGTCGGAGCAGGGACGCGTGTATTGACCCTTGAAGATTGAGAAATGCTTCTCTAAAGTAGAAATCTGAACCACGTCTTGACGTCTCTCTTTACCTTCTCCCAGCCTGTGCATGCCTCGGGACCTGCCGCTGACCATCCAGTCCTGCATCCTTCCCAAAGACTGCCAGGTTACCGAGTGGACCGAGTGGAGCTCCTGCTCAAAGACCTGCGTGGACCCCGAGTCTCTGAAAGGAAATCGCACTCGGAGAAGACAGGTGCTGCAGTTCCCCGTCGGTGAAGGTGAGGAGTGCCCGCCTCTGGAGGAGATGGAGTCCTGCGAACCTCGGGGAGAAAGCCTGCCACCCTGCACCACGTGAGTTTCTGATTACTGACGAGGGGAGGCAGAACGAGGCAGCCGGGATCGAAGGGGACGTTTCAAATTGCCCTAAAGTGTTGATGTGACTTTCATGACTTTCACTGAGATATGAATGTGCATTATGTCGTGATGAAATCATTTGCTTTGACTTTGCCTTATTAAAACCTGCGATGAAACGCTTCAGGCGTTCGATCGGCATTTCAGTCACGTATGGGCTCGAGACAGAAAAATCTGTGCTGGCTCAGTCTGCACAAACTTCCTGTTGACCTCCATTTACACATATCACCAGACTAATTTTGTCTCCTGGGTGGCACACGGTGGGGAGTGTGTGTTTGTGAGACGACATATGGAGAAAGATAAGTGTAAGTGCTTGGGCTGGAGCCAGACACAAAGTGAAGGCAAACGGAGGGAAACTATAAGGCTATTTTACACTCTGATACAGAGCAAACAAAGATTCAGGCTGTCAATGGCTCGCTTCAACCCGTACCATCATTCCACATCCCTGAGTAAGAAACTCTTTCTAATCCCATCTGGAAGATTACTGGATTTCCTGCCAAACCAGTCACAATAAGTCTGTGACACATTGGGGAATTATTTATACCTGTAAAAACATATTGGTTGCCAAATTTGTCAGTCTAACTGATTTGTTCTGCCTGCAGCCCAAAACAAAAGGACATTAACGTGTGGGTTTGTGTGTCTGTTGGCAAAATATCCCATGAACTAATAAACAGATTTTACTGAAACAGCCAGAAAGTATTTGTTGAATCAACACGTTCAACCTGTTAAAATTAGGAGCCAACACAATTCAACATGACCGCCCCGCTAAGCGACATTAGCCAACAGTAAAATGGGTATAACTCGGTCAGTTTTGCAGATACTAAGATAAAATTTGAAGTGATAGTAGCTGAAATTAATTCACAAGATATACGCTACGTACAGGTGTCCTGAAGCCAGTTTTTTTTTTTCATACCAAGTACAAGTACTCCAGTGTGAGTCCCGACGGAACACAGCAATCAGTCTGCTGTCTTAACATGACGTGTGTTTTTCTTAAAATATCTCTAAACTATGGACGTTTTTACTTGTTTATCCTCGGTTACTTGCAAATTGGAAGAGGAAATGATGTCACCAAGCCTAAACGGTCTGAAGTACTGGGATGTGTTTACAAGCGCAAGTACTCGAGGCTGGTATCGGGCCCAATACCAGTATCGGTATCGGAGCACCACTAACCCTATACAACACAACATGCTCAACATCTTTGTTCAAAACTCTAGTATATGCTTTAGTCCACGTTGATTGTTAGTAAAATATCTCGTCAATCACTGGACGTATTATAATGAAACACTCTAACTTTGGGAGTCAACCCAATTCAACCCAAAGCTGCTTCAGTTAATTGATCCTAGCCATCACTGAAGTGGTTGTATCCCTGTCAGTTTTCAGGAGTCGTCCTTTCTCTTCATATCATGAGATGTTCAAAACAATATTTACAGAGTTTGACCAAAATGACTAACTCTGTCCTATTTCAGCATAAATGATCTTTGTTTAACTCTCTGGCATGTAAAGTGGGGGGCTTATCTTAAGGAATGAAAAGTCTTAATAGTGTTTGATGTAGACAGACTATACTTACTATATTAACAGGCACTTTGGTTTCAAAATTAGCTCTGATAAATAAAACGTTGGTAAATTATTCCCTCTATATTGTATCTTTGATCATTTTTTACCTGCGGGAACAAAAAAAAGTCCCTTCAGTCTGAGTTTTTGATGTTTTTTGACTGATTTTAACAGAATTTAGGTCTACAAGACTGAAAATGTTCCTAAATCGACACCGTACTGCACCCACAGAGGAACGTCTGACTCTTGTTCTCTCTGCTGCTTCGTGTCAACGTTGCAGATACATGTGGAGGACCACCGAGTGGAGCGACTGCCGGGTGGACTTACTGCTGAGCCAGCAGGACCGGCGCCGCAGCAACGTGACGGGGCTTTGTGGAGGAGGTCTGCAAACGAGAGAAGTTTACTGTGTCCAGGCCAACGCAGAGCTCCTGAAATACCTCAACGACCTCAGAGAAAAAGAAAAAGGTAAAGCTAGATTCAGCTGGATTGTATGTTTTGATGGGGTTGGAACCAAATTCTTTAAAAACCTCAAACCAAATCTTTTTATGGTCAACGACTAAACTGGATTTAACGGGTTTACCTTGTGTGAACACACTAAACGGATCTGCTCGTGGAACCGGTTAAAATCATTAATATGCTATAGACAGTTGACTAAACAATTTATGAATTATTCCCACTTGAAAAAAAAAGTTCCAGTGATTTGATGGTGTAAAAAAAAATCATATTTTAACAACGTGGTTGCAGAAGAGCACTGGTAGATGAGTCAGCAGCAGCACAGATCAGGAGAGCACAGCTTTCAGATATGTCCTATAGCTTTATCTAACTCCAACCAAAGCTTCCACTCATTTATTTATTTCAGCTGACTGTTGAGTTTGGCCTGAAGCAACCAGTAGACCCCAGTAAGTGTGTGAACTGGACCAAAATAAAAACGAGAGTAGCCTGTAATGATGAGTGGAAACAGACGAGGTGTACATTTTTGTGAGTGGATGACTGAACGTGGCTTGTGGTGTGAACAAACTGGAGCAGACTTAAATAAATGCTCTGTTTGTCCTTTATTGGATTATTAATAATATTTGGGTCGTAGTTTCTTTTCCTCAGGTGGAGGAGTTCACGTACCTGGGCATCTAGTTCATGAGTGGTGGTAGATGGAGCGGGAGATGTATTGACGAATCGGGGATTCATCCTCTGTAATGAAGGTGTTGCTTCGGTCTGTTATGGTGAAGATCTGAATTGAAGGCAAAGCTCTTAATTTACAGGCCTGTCTATGTTTCAACCCTCACTTGTCATGAGTTTTAGATCATGACCCAAACAAGGAGATCCTGGATACAAGCGGATGAAATGAGCCTCTTTTCTGTGGCCTGGCTCAGCGTTGGGGATAATGAGAGCATCTAGGAGTCGTGTTGAGGTGGTTCAGGCATCTGATTAGCACCTGGAGGTTTTCCAGGCATGTCCCACTGTAAGAGGCCCCAGGGCAGCCCCAGAAACCTCTGGAGGGATTGTGTATCTTCTCCAGCTCGGGAATGCCTTGAGATCCCCCAGGCGGAGCTGGAGAGTGCCGCTTGGGGGATACATGTCTGGGTTTCTCTCCTGGATCTGTTGCCTCTGTGACGTGACTTTGTTAAAGCAGCTGAAGATGGAGAATATTTTGTGGTTTCTCATGTAGCCTCTAAATCATCAGCAAATTGTCCCCCTTTCAAGTGTTTATAGTATAAATTACTACCACAGCCTGGGACTACGGGTAAGTACCTGGGATGTCCCAGTTACTTTTAAAATACACACGTTTTTTCTGGTAGTCTCCATGCACGGTATGCACCGGGTACTTGCAGGTCACATACTGGGCTGTAATATGTATTGCTACCCTTTATATTTCTATATACAATACACCTGTTTTTACTGGCAGCAACAAATACTTGAAATGTTTTAGAACACATTTCTCACCTCATTTCACTTCCACAGGGAGAAGAATTTACTTTCTACTCCATTCATTGAAATTCCTGTCGTGTCATCCTGCACCACCCTTGAAAACACGACCTTAGATTTTCAGTATAACTCTAAAAGCAGTCATGGTGAAAGGCAGTAAATTTAGGCTCATGACAACAGCAGGGTCTTGCAGAGAATATATTGTCGCATATAAATTTCACTTATGTTCCAGCAGCTTGTGCCCTGCAGGGTTCATAATCACAGTCAAGTGTTGGATGGGTCTCTTGAGGCCTGCCAAGCTACGAGCTCTGAACTCTTAAAGCAAAAATGTAAGAAGCACACACAAAAAATTAAATACTATGAAACAAGAACTTGAGAATGGTATTTTTGTTTACCGTCTTTAGCTCAGTTAATCCATGAACCAAAATCTTCTTGCATTTTTTAAAAGAATGAACTAAAGCTAAAATTCCTTCATCACATCTCTCGACAGATGTCTTGAAACATTTTAAGGAAAATTTGTAACAAATGCATCTCAGTGCTCCACGTCAAGTTCGCTGTGAGAAAAGCCGTAAAACATTTAAAAGAGAGACTAAAAATAAAATAAAATCAACAGCATGCTGTGTATTTTGCTGAAAGTATCATGATCCAGTTCAAAATAATTTGAGCTAAGCTGAAGTTAAGATGTTTGGTTCAAGTGCAGGCAAGCTTGGAACAGATATTGAGATTTATAAACTGAACTTATTGATTTGAAACAATGGAAACGAGGACAGTCTTTTAAATCGTTATTTTTTAAACGGCCTAAAGACTAAACGCCATTTTACTTTTTATTCTTTGAACTAAAGTAGACCAGCCCCTGTAGAGTTTAAACTGGATCGTGAAACCATTTATGCTTTATCATTTTTACACATGCATGTCGGGGACTTCCTGATCTGGGTCGACATTTTAGAACCAGAATAAGTTTTACCATCATTGTACCGTAGTACAGTACAGTGAGATTATGTTCGTACAGTTGTCCGAAAGATGGGCGACATGCACGTTGCTGCTGCTCCTAAGAGTGCAACCCCTTATTCTTTAGATAGAAAAGGGGAAAGGCCATGAGGAGAAGATGGTGGTATTACAAAAAAAGATCTCTTCACACCTAGTCCTCATCAGGACATGATTTAAGACATCAAAAACCTCTACCAGCAGCAAATTTACAGACACATTACATATACATTTGATGACAAGACTGTGAGATGTGTCCATGAAGCACTTCCAGATAGACCATAGTCCCGATGAGATGTTGGTGTCAGCCGGTACAGCTCTGATAAGCGTTAACAGAAGTTCTCTGGGGTGGGAGTGGGGGGTGCAGATGGAGCTGAGTCTTCCTTAGTTTACACACATCCCAGGAGAAATTTGATAAATTGGCCTACTTCAAGGCCGAATGGGGAGTCAGATTCAGATAAACCACAGTTGTTGATTTTTTTTTTTTTTTCAGCCAGATTATTTCTCACCAGCCTTGAGTCCTGCTGGTACTCCCGATGATCCAAAATGGCCAGATTTGTGAGCATTCCACTGGTCTGTGCTTTTTAGCTCCATCCAAGGTCGTCCCCAACATGCTGGCGAGTCCCAGAAGCTGCAGGTGGCCTGTGATTCTCACAAATCGCTTCCATCTTATGTTTGAGCTCGTAAATCAGCTGATTTTGAGTGCTCAAAGCACGAACCAAACCTTCACATACGCTCGGCAGCTTTGCCGTGGCCAAAACTGCTGCCGTCGTCTTAGCTGATAACATAGGTATCCGACACTGCCAAAAAGCAGAAACCCTGCTATCATGATTCCAATGATATAAACATTTTCAGTGTCCTCCCGAGACAAAATGGAAAGACACATCAACTTCCACTTTCCCCACGGATCCATGACGTACCCTGCCGCATGCGTCTCAGCAGGGCATGAGGGCTCTCCAGGACCCTGTCACTTGGTTGAAAAAATTTTATCAATTGAGTTGAAAGTCCAGCTGACCAGATCTATGACAGTAGTTTACGATTCGGAAGATGTGTAAATAGGAGCTCCGTTACACAAGACAGAGCTCAAAAAAGCAGGCGGGAGACAGGAGAGGGAAGACAAGCATCCGTCTTTCTCGAGAGCGAGTGAGGAAAAAACTGAGGAATTTTCATGCAAAGTGAAAATGTGAAGCAGTCAAGGTGTTCCAACATATTGTATAATTACTTATAGCTGGAATAATTAAATTATTCTGGGGTTTTTTCATACCGCTTCCCTGAGTTTTAATCAGGTTGAGGTTTGGACCTTTTCTGGGTCATTGCAGCGTTCTGTTGGAGATCAGCTGCTGTGTTCAGGATTAAGGTCTCGTTGCATCATGTTTGGTCCAAGCTTCAGTGCTCAGATGGACTCACTTTTGACTCTAGAATGTTTTGCTCTACAGAGGACTTCATGGTCCACTCAATAATTGCACAGGGCCCAAACCATCAGCCCTCCACCACCATGCATGACAGCTGGTGGGGGGCTGTTTGTGCTGAAATGCTGTCTTTTGTTTGGCAAACCTAAGCTGCTGTAAGGAATAAGAGAGGATTGATCTTTGTCCTTAAGATATATTTGTAGATTTATTCATGTTCTGTGAAGAATGAGATCACCTGATGTGCTTTGAGAGGTTTGAAGTGTTCAGAGTGTGAACCAGTGGTTTTTGCACAGGCTGATGGTCAGGGGTGAAGACTCCCAGAATCCTGGTAATGTCCTCATAACTCTTTCCAGATTAATTGGGCAAAGAGAGTTACATCTCTAAGCTTGCAGCTAATGTTGTCCTGCTTTTATAAAAAAGAAACACACGGTTTATCACTTTATCAAGGGCATTTGATTAACAGACTGTGCTGCTAGGTGAGAGATTTCCTTTCACTGTTTTTTGCATTTTGGCTCGTATCTTGAGTCTTTTTCGCAAGTGATGGTGCAAAAGATAAATTGACAATCATGGCCTCGTCTGCAGTAATAGAGCGCCGGTTGCTTCAGTCTGTTGTGGTGAAGAAAGAGCCGAGTTAAAAGGCACAAAGTGCTTCATTTACCATTTGTGCATAAGACCAACAGTCCAGGCACATTGGGATTGTTGTGCAGAGCTCTCTCAAAGTTGAAATCAAAACACTAAATAACGGTAAATAATTAAAAATAAGAATAAAGTAGATTGTATCTACACCTTCCCTGGTCATGTGATCAGTGAAGTTAGGTAGTGTAGGTTATTATTGCACCTGAGCAGTAGTTTTGCCATCAGTCTGACTGTGGCAGACCATCTTGTGCTATGGGTGATGATCTATCCACTCTGCTGTGTCTCAGGTTATAAGAACATGTTTTGTATCTGATGAGAGAGTGAGCTGGATGGAGTGAGTCCTTGATGATTCCTGCTGCTCTTCTTCAACTGCGCTGTTCATACATGGAGTCCATGGAAGGAAGTTTGTCCCTGTGATCCTCTCCACAGTCTTTATGACTCTTTGCAGTGCCTTCCTTCCTGCTTGTGTGGTGTTCCCATACCAGATGGTGATGCCTGTGGTTAGTGTACTCTCTA